TTTTTATTTAACATCTAGATACTACTCTGAAAGCGATTTCTACGTAGGGACAGAATCGTTTAGTCGTATAGTGAATTGTTGTTTGATAGTTTGTTCTTTTACTCTCCGCCATTGACAAAACTGAGTAAAAGTATAGCGATCTAACACGCCCGTTGCTCGGGTAACGTTTATCAATTTTATCAATAAATATTAATTTCCTTCTTCATCAGTTTTGTTGATTACATGTCATAATAACAATGAATAAATTAATTTTCCATGTCAAAAATTTATAATGTTAAAATAATATGATAGCTGCTTGAGTTATATTTATAAAATATTGTTAAACTAGTATGTCCGGTGATAGTTCAGTATTTTCATTCTCGGTTTTACACTATTTTTTTTTTTTTTTACCAATTGGCTTTTAAAATGTTAACATATTTATAATACTAGTCTAATTTAAACTTCTAATATAAGAAGTATATTAAATTATTTACAGACCTCGCAACTCATCTAATATTATGACAGAAATTATAAACACTAAAATAATTATATTAATTATATATTATAATATTTCATGATAATTAAAATTATTAAAAATACCATATACAGTATTTATATACACATCGTTATGAGAGGAAATACAGTTTTAAAACTTAAGTGCAAATTTTTGTCGGATTTATCATAAAAATAAATTTTGATCTAATTAATATATAATAATACTGTAAATATATTTTAAAGAACACATACGAGAAAGTAAAATAATTGTTGATTAATAATTAATTGCCAATTTAATTAAAATGCTTACATTTATACTTTTAATAATAAATTATAACACCATACGTATAATTATTAATTATTAAAATTAATAAAAACTATAATTTTATAGACTAAGTATACATTTTACGGTTGGCTATATAAAATAATATTTATATTTATAATCAATGGTTTTACCAAACATTATTTTCTTCTTTCAAATGTAAGTTAATGAAGTTTGCTCTATCACAAAAACACCAAAGTTGTTTAGAAAGTATAACTTTTCATAAATTTAATTTATGAAAATATATTGTATAAAAAAAAAAGTTGAGTAAAACATATAGTAATAGTATTTATACTTATACATAAACTTAATTTTTACCACGCACGATTGTTCTATATTATGTTATGTAACGTAGCAGAACATCTACTTACTTTACTGCATTGCGCTACAGGGACATCCTTAGAATATTATTGGTCTAATTTATTATTATGTCATATTGTGTAAAGTTAATCGTAAACTTAAAACTATAGGTACATAGTTTAATTTATTTCATATAATTTATGGTGTATATAAGTTAATTATAGTGGTTTAGTTTGTATTTTAAAATAACCCTTGACATGTTTGTTATCTTTAATAATCTTATGTAAAATAAAAAATAATCATATAATAGACACAAGTTCATATCGTTAGGTTTAAGTGGAACAAAAATTAGACATAGTAAAAAGAAAAAAAAATGATTAAACATTTTTAATGTAATTTTTATTATATTTATTTTCTTTCTGTGTAACTAATTTAACAATTAATATAACTTTAAACTTTTAAACACTAACCTGTGAGCTGTGGTATATTATTTGAATTTAAAACGATCAAAGAAAATATTTAAATAATCAAGTCGATGTGCATTCATTTAAATATTTTAGATTAATAGTTTAATAATAATTGTTTTAAGTTTTTTTTGATTAATTAGAGAAAGTAGTTTAAAACGTACAGGTAAATTATATTATACTTCTCTCGATTTTCCCAGAACTTAACTTAAACTCCCCCAGGCTGAATATTAAACTATTATTATTATTGAATCGTTATAGTTTGATAATTAATATACGGAGGCACATCAAATTTCATAAAATTATTCTTTTTTGAAAATATTTTATATAATTTAATATTTAAAAATTTAAAAGTTAATACCACTATTAAAAATATTAAAAATATAATATATATATATATATATATATAGGGAAAAGGGAGTTTACAATAGTTTTAAAAAATAAAAATATTGATGTGATGTAATAAAATCAAGAATTTATAAAAATTAAAACACAATTAATGTACATTTTTAAAATTATGTTTAAAAGAGAACTTAAATTACAAAGTATTTTTTTTCTTTTAATTTACCCAGGTTATAAAATATAGTGCAATATTTTTGAGGTTTAAAATTATATTGATAAAATTTAAATGTTCTAGTCAGTTTTAATATTAAAGTTAGACTAGAGTAAGTTATAAATATTAATTCGATTATTATAAAAACAATACAAATTAAAATAATATTGAGTAAATTTAATTTTTCTGGTTTAACTGTTGCAAGAGTAACTTGAATGAAATTCCAGTACACTTTTGTACAATAAATATTTTCAAAATTCGATTTTAAATAATAATACCAATAGTGTACCTTAATAGATGACACTATGATAGCAATGAAATATATTGATTATTTTTGTTTTTTATCCAAATTATACAAGGAAATATTATAAAAGTAAAGTCCATAACTATCATTAAGTCTTATAAAAAATATTTAATTTTTAAAATTCCAGCTGACGTGTCGACAAAACACGGGGACATAATTATATAGAATAATATGTCGTTTCTTTATATATTGAGTTCTAAAATTGCATACTGATATTATAAATATATATAAACATTTCGATCTGTGATTCCTATTGATAAACATAGCCCATAAACTTAATACAAATGACATGTTATAAATAATATGACATGAGTAAAATAGTGGTGTAGTTTGCGTATCCATGCATTATACGCCTTTCATTACTGCTGTTATCAGGCTATAGACACGCCTATTATTGTGAACTCGATGAGTTATTTTATACGACAGCTGATGTTCAGGATAATAATGTGTATATAATATGTTATCCCGAATTTATAGTTTCTCTAGAGTTTTCGACTACGCCGCACAATGTTCAAGCAACTGTCATTGTTTCACACGATCCCATTCACGGTATTTTTTCTACCTTATTCGCGCTGCCGATTCTTTGGATGAAAGTTTTCGTAAAATTCGCAGATTATCCCTTATTCCAGATACATATATAACGTGGAGTGTAGTGGCAGAAGTGGAATAAACAATAATAAATAAATAAAAATAAAAGCTGTACAGTACGATCTTGCATAGGTGACTACTATAGGTGAGCGCTTTGTATCTAAATTCTAAAACGAAATCTCGTTTATAAAATTACTTTCCAGCTACCGCTCTAGTTAGAGTGCTTCGCGACATGTAAATAATTAACAACACAGCGTGACATATGAAAACGTGTACTTACTTACACGTTTAATATCAGCTTATAAATGCGTTCATCCTGTATATCTGCCGGTCCGGAAATCAGCTTTTCGTTATTTTTTTTTTTTTATGTACGTTCGGGATAATCGATTTAACTCGGTCACATAAATTTCTTGTGAACTAGCGAATTTTTTTTGGAATTTATTTCAATCGTAGTACAGAAAACAGTCGTACAGTCACGTGGCAATAAAGTTTATGGGTGCTTTAAAAGTTAAAACCAAACAACGAACATGATTCGTAAAACTAGATATTATAATTATTATCACATTATATAGGGATCAACTCTTCAGTGTGAGTTACTGAAAAGTTAAAATCTTATCAATTTTTACTCATATATTTTATATGTGAGTAAGAGGAAAGTACTCTATGGCGATGTCTCATATTGTTATTATTTTCTTCGTCACATTTGAACTAATTAATTAATCACGTGTTTCCCTTACTTACGAGTGTACGTACAAAGAGAACTTTTGACGCCTTTCAGATATACAATTTTGTACGCACACAGCCCCTATAAAGTTTCAGGTTAAACGGTATATCATCAAATATATAATAAATAATGAAAAGATCTTAAAATTTTACTAACTTTTGCAATAAGCGTATATTATTATTCTGCGTCAATTACGATGTAAACAATAGTGTTATACTATTATAGAATAGAGACGTTAAGACCACTTAAAACATATTGTTGAAAATTATAGGTCGTGACCTGTTTGGTATATAATATGTTTAGCAACGCTATACTGCACCGGTGAAATACCACTTTATCCTTTTAAAATTCTTGCTAATACTTATGTGAAAGAAATAGAATAACAGCATAACCTAAGTCATTATTAATATTTAATTGTTGTAAAATTGAAGAATTAAATAAATAAATAATTTTCCATAATATTTTTTTGGGTTTGACGGTATTCTGACTCGTAAACAGAAATAAATCATAATATTTTCTAGCTAGAACCGTAATAAAACGTTATCCGTATTTGTTGACAATTTTTTTTTATGTAATCTACGTCCTGAATAACTTATGTTAAAACAAAAATTATCACATACTAAATTGTGAATAACAAAATATAAAATAAGATAAATATGCTCTCTAAAAAAAAAGAAGATAAAATGCATATCATTCTATTTAAAATAAAAAAAAGATAATTCTGTCTCTACGAGTCATAAATGATGAAATGCGGAAACATGTTTTGACAGCAGGGTTTAGCCACTATTATGTCACATGAACCAAATCGTTGCGAAATTAAATTTTGTACTTTACATCGGCTTAAAAAATAAACTGTTGTTATTTCTATAAAAGTAGTTAAAGGTAGTTTAAATAGACAAAAAGAAAAAAAAAAAACACTGACAATTTTGAACATAATAATATATTTAAGAAATAATGTGAATATTTCATTTTATTTCCACTTAAAAGTTAAACATTTATCACATGATAAATAAATACAGTTTATAACTAAAACGATTTTAATTATTTATTGTTCCTCGTTAAGAATCATTAACTATGAACACGTCTTATTAGTTTATGAAAAAATACCTACCTATAAGAGTTTTATTCTGTTGTAATTTACGAAGCATTCATTTTTTTTCCTATCCATTATTATTTCAGGAGTAAACAATAAAGAATACAATTTATATTTGTTAGTATAAGCTTAAATTTCTTATAATAATAGATTTCATAATAAATATGTAGGTACTTACTTATTGCAGCCGTGTTTCCTGAAACAATAATTAAAATTGTAAAACAAAGTTCAATAATCGATAAGTAATTATTTATTATAATCAGTAAATTAAAATAAATAAATAAATACGTAATCAATATCAAAATCACCTCTCTCTCTCTATATATATATATACTCTGTATTATGTATAGTTTTATAAATTAAATAACATTTATTTATTTACTAATTAATTAATTTGGACATAATTTAAGATAGCCATATATATTTTTTTTGATAAAAACGGAATAAAAAAAAAAAAATTCATTATTTTTATCATAAGTAAAATTTTTTATTATTTAATAGTCATAAGCAAAGTAGTATTTTTATGGAACGAAAAAAATAAAATTACATAGTAGTTATATTTATCATTATAACACAATTCCTTCAATGAGTTGAGAGATTACTTCAGAAACAAGTAACAATTCTGGAGAGGACATTTTAAAGTTAATTTTTGTTAATAGCATCACTTTCAAAACTGATACGTCTTGAAGCTGAGTTTTTTTTTTTTGGTCATCAATGAAAATTTTCATTCGAAAAGTTTGGTAACAAGCGTCAAGCAAGCATAGAACATATTTAACGGTTTTCCAAAAAATACACAATGATATACATCGTTACCACAAAAATGCTGAAACATTTGTATCCAACGATGCTTTGCATATTTGCCAGATAAATCTGAATTCCACTCCTACACTGTCCAGTTACATACAATAATATTAGCGTAAATTCGTCAAATACCTCAGAGTCCTTCTCAAAGTCGATTTAACCCTTTTCGATTAGCACATCTATTGACTTCTGTGCTTTTTCCCACGTTGGGATTGTTTTAAAATCGGCTTATTAGAATATTTGCGATTTAGACTGATTGTACGGAGTCTTCTCCTGAAAGTAATCACTATTTATTTTATAAAAATCTAAAGTAATTGATTTCACCGAATCTTCTTAAACCTTCCCTTTTATTTTGTAACACAGAGTGTAATCGACGGATAGAATTTGAGAGAAATGGAGAATTTAGTTTTTAACCCAATTTTTTTTTCATAAATTATCGATTACTTTGGTAGCTTTAATCACTGAAACATTCTGATTTTCAAATATTTAACACTGCTGTATGAAAAGTTACCGACTGACTGTGTACGAAAAAAAAAAGCAATACTCAAAAGTTCGATACTCAAAGAAATGTTTCAAGAATACAGGGCATTTTTTTTTATTCTTAAAAAATAATCTTTTAGTGGTATATATAACTGTAAAACTATTCTTTCGATAGCAAACATTAGTGCAAACCATCTGGTTTTATTATAGTCCTATAAATTCTGGTACTCAGTTTCAGCAGCAACCTCACAAAGTTTTTACATGCTTCTTCTAGTATCGTATAAATGTAGAAAAATGAAAACAATTATAATATTATACATTCAATTTTAAATGGCACAGGCAATCTGTAGCACACTTGATGGTGTGTGAATCACGTAAACATCGCATAACCTATCACAGCAATTATTTTTTTATATAATCAATGTTAATACATTTTTCCTTGTAATAGTTAATTTTATATATATATATATTTTTTTTTTTTTTGATTAAAAACCTGATTTTCTGTCGTGTACACAATTGATTTTTTTTTTTTTTTTTTTATTTACATTATAAAAGCTAGGAATTTTTACATCCCGAAGATTCCCCAGGGGACAACGAGACAAAGGTACGAGCAATGGAGCTTTCCCGTTAAAAACGAGACGTATGGTCACCTTATAAGCATAATAGTTATACAATATAAATAACATAATCGAATCAGTTTTATTTAAGTACAGGGGTGGTTCACACAAGCTATAAGAAAAATTAAGGACATTCTGTTTTTAAAAATAAAAAAAATCATTTCAAAACCATTGACAACCTATTCCCGAAATGAGCCACACCAAATATACATAATAATATTATTAAATTATTTCACTGAATAAATTATCGATTTTTTTTCAAAGAAATTTCTTTAATAATTTAACTAGGCAACAATTTGTTTATCATTAGATAACGGTATAGTTTATGGCAGTGAAAAAACACCCTAATTTATTATTTAAATTATTTTAGTTAACACAAACAGTGTGTCTTCTCAGAATATACAATTTTATTATAGTTATCACTGTATAATGGATTTTACATGAAATGCATGTTGCTATTTTTAAAATAATATACATGCAGTCAATGAATACCCACAAATCATTAATTAATTGATTTAGTATCAACATTTTATACAGTATATTTTTGTATATTTTGACGTTAGTACATATTTTACATATTTTTGCTTATTTTAATAAAAACCCGCACAAATATACACCTAACGATCCAAAAAGGTGTTCAGCAAAAAAAAAAACAAATTATAGGTATGTTTATATAATATCAAATATTTTATGTCTCAAAGAATAACGTTTGATAACTTATTGTTTATCCAATTAACATACATCATTAAACCATACTTCTTTCCTATTTATATCACCAATGTATCTATTATTTAATATTAATAAAATACATTTTACAATGTATTACCTAAAGATTAAAAATTAAATTACAATTTAAAAAATTACAGTTTTGTTTTGTATATTTTCTATATTATATCTTATATTTTTGTTTATGCAAATTTAAATAAAAATAATAAATAATAATCACAGCAAAATTAAAATCAAATATAAAATTTAATATTTAAATTTTATTTTGCATGTTATGTATTTTTTTCTTGCATATTTTGACTTTTTTTAGTGCATGTTTGCATACATATTTTACAATTTAAAATGCATATAAATCCAATCTTTAGTTATCACATTTTGTATAGTTCATATAAACATATATATATATATATGATAGGTACCGTCTAATATTAAGAATACGCAATACATTCAATATGGAATTTCACGAAGCAAAATAGTATGCAGCTGTCAACATTCTTCTTACGATTCGCTTACACATTATTTTTTTTTTATTCAGAATCAGTAAATATATAATTATATTATATAAAATATACTAGAATCTCGTGACTGAAAATGTACTACGGGACATAACATTATCATAAACACGAATTAAATAACTTACAACTATAATTTATGTGTATTTTAAGTAAAGTAATCATAACAAAATTATCATCCTATTATACTTAATTTGAATATGTTAATGTTTATGCACCAACACTAAGCTAATATTTTATATTAAAAATATTATTTTATTTTATCTAAAATAAACTTTAGTTACAATATGCATACTAGATTTTTCTTATAAATTTCATTATATAATTTTATGTTATTGGAAATAATAACATTTAAAAAAAAAAAATTAATTTTTTCAAACTTAAATCCCCTAAAGCTGCACCTACAATTTTAAGTATTTTACTTAAAATTAACCTTTATTGTACTTTAAATATACTGTTAGTAGTTATTTTCCTGTTAATGTTCTCTTCGAATTTCACATTTAGATGGATCTCTGTTTGACATTAACAAATATATAAACATATATGTACATAAAAATTTGACATACATTCAACTTCTCTAGACAATGGTCTTCCGTGAATCTATGCTTTAACAACATATGAAAATAACGTAATTACCTATAATATTTTACTGTGTCAGTGAGTAATTTTACATTTTGGTTAAAAAGATAATTTAATTAAGTGTCTTAAAAGTCATGATAAATACTTAAAACCTTTTACTAAATACCTTTTAAGTAATCTACATACAAAAAAAAAAAAAAAAACCATTAGTATTGTAATATAATACCTACTATTTATAAATGTCGGTGATAAATCAAAAACCATTAAATAATAATAAATTCTGTGTATTTAATTTAGATTGTTAAAATAAAATTTCAACAATTTAATCGTAAATTTCAATCAAAATAAATTTAATTTAATCATATAAAGATAGCTTAAAATTTGATTTAATTATAGAGTGAAAAAAATGGTTTTCTCCGATATGACCGTGTTATTAATAGAGGAAAGCCGATTATAATTCTATATATATATAACTGTAGAGCGTCAAAGCGAACAGAATCGTCATATTAATATTTAAATCCTGAATTGTCAGTTCGCAGTGCGCAGTATCCTTGCAGCAGATAGCCAAAATGTTCCAATAAATACCCTTCTAGCGCGAATTGTCATAGAAAGGTTAGGCTTTATACTTTGTCACATAACACGAATTACAGCCATTTGGCGTTTTCCTACATCTATATTATTATTCAGTATATGCTGCTGCGCCACTATAAATCGACCATGCGAATCGATCTGCACGCACACAAGTTATTGGTTTTCAACTAAAAAGTGACGAGATCAGTACAATATACAAAGTTACGAGTAGAAATATAAGTACAGTACAACTGTAGTGTAAATTCGAACTGCATAGTTATATTATATGCCAGACTGTGGTCTGTGTAAATACTATTTTGGTGCACCTACGCATCAGAACTGTGAATAACAAACACAGGTTGTCACTTAGTTCCTTTAAAATATATACAATAAAATACTGACCTATTTTAATTTAACAGTTATCATTCACATTGATCAGGGGTTAAAAATATTTTTTTTACCCCCAAGCCAGCTCCTGTTTAAATAATGATTAAAACAAAAAGAACCTATGTTCACCAAACTACGCCAAACGTGACGATTGGATTCAATATTTGATAATGACAATACATTAAAAAATGTAAATGGAATTCCTGTGGTAAGTAAAGTAAATAAAAATGTCTAATTTGTTACGGAATAAACTGTATGTATATGAGTAAAAAGGTCTTTTTCAAGACCAACAATATCGATTGGGTAAAACAAGGAAGACTGACAGATAAAAATCACACCTGGTAAATATAAACAGCAGAGCAACGGTGTGATTTGTATCTGTCAGTACGAATCACGCGGACCAATGAATAACGGACTAGATGGCCGAAGACGGTATAAATACCGGACACTTTTGACCATCTAGTCAGTCTTTTTCAAATCTTCAAACTATCAACAGTCAACATAGAAACCCAACAGAAGAAGAC